GGGTGTTCATTGGAAGGACTGATGCTAAAGCTGAAATTCCAATACTTTGGCCACCTGATGCAAAGAGCTGACTCATTGGGAAAGACCCTGTTGCTGGGAAAGATTAAGGGCAGGAGAACAAGGGGACGACAGAGGATGGGTTAGTGTTAGTGGCTGGATGGCATCACGGACTTAATGGACATGGGTTTGGGCGGACTCCGGGAGTTGGTGATAGACAGGGAGGCCTGGTGTGCTTCAGTTCATGGGGTCGCAAAGAGTCAGACAAGACTGAGAGACTGAAATGAACTGAACTGAACTGAAAATGAAAAGATCTGGCTTGATTTTTCTTCAAAGGTAATTTATGATTTTATTATTTAAGCTGTGTCCTATGATATCCAATTTTTTAAACATTATTGGAAAATAAAAGAGTGGAAAAATTACATTAGAGGAAGATCAGTTATACAACTAGATAATTCATTCCAGGATTCTGCAGTATTTTGAAGCTTAGAGAATATTCTGGTCCTTAGGGACAGCAGCTAAATTTGACCTGAAGAGACCCATGCCGGATGGTTTTCTCAGACTTGAGAGTACAACATGGGGTGCTCCAGATCCCTGAAAACTGTATCTTTTTTCAGCACCAGCATTTCTCCTTTCTCTGTCCCAGCTTGAGAGGATGCTGGTAGCTTAGGTGTTGTCCTGGGAATGAGGAGTAGGATGGTTCCGCTGCTAAGAACTAGTAACAGTCTCTAACTGCATCCAGGATGATGCAAACTCACAAAGCAGTGAGGCCACTGGTCACTCACAAAGCAGATAGCCACTCCATCTGGCAGACTGAAGGAGCAGAATTCCGGGAAATGCCAGTTTTCCGTAATTGTATCATTGCCATGTTCCATGCCTGGGGGAAATACTTTGTTAAAGAGATGGGGTCGATTAGATTTGTTCTGACTGGTATCCAGGTGGGTTACTCTGGTGGGTGACCTGGATTACCTGCGTGATGAGATTATGTGATCTAAGGGGTTCCATACCTGATGAGGTTATATCAATGATGGGGTTATTAACTGCATATAAGGAGAGTTCACCATCCGAAAGGGGCTTAGTTTCCAGAGAGACACTCCGTGGTGATCGTGACCCCAGCAGAGAATTGGCTCTGTCGTCTTCTCTATAGATTTGGATCCTGGTAAGCATTCAAGTGGAGAAGGCAATGGCACCCACTCCAGGACTCTTGCCTGGAAAATCCCATGGACGGAGGAGCCTGGTGGGCTGCAGTCCATGGGGTCGCTAAGAGTCAGACATGACTGAGCGACTTCACTTTCATTTTTCACTTTCTTGCATTGGAGAAGGAAATGGCAACCCACTCCAGTGTTCTTGCCTGGAGAATGCCAGGGACGGGGGAGCCTGGTGGGCTGCCGTCTATGGGGCCACACAGTGTCGGACACGACTGACGTGACTTAGCAGCAGCAGCAGCAGCAAGCATTCAAGACTCGCTGGTAGCTCAGCTGGTAAAGAATCCGCCTGCAATGTAGGAGACCCTGGTTCAATTCCTGGGTCAGGAAGATCCCCTGGAAAAGGGATAGGCTACCTGCTCCAGTATTCATGGGCTTTCCTGACGGCTCAGACAGTAAAGAATCTGGCTGCAATGAGGGAAACCTGGTTTGATCCCTGGGTGGGGAAGATCCTCTGGAAGAGGGCATGGCGACCCATTCCAGTATTCTTGCCTGGAGAATTCCAAGGACAGAGGAGCCTCGGGGCTAAAGTTCACGGGGTTGCAAAGAGTCGGGAAACTGAGCCACGAAAACAACAACAGAATGGAGCTGGTAGCTCATCTGTCTAGCTAGAGTCCAGACGACAGTTCTTTCCCTGTCAGTTTAGAGACACTGGTGGGAGAAACTGAAATAACTTGAGTCCTTCTTCTTCTCTAGACCTGGGAACCAGAAGGTGTCTTGCATAGCCGGCTGTCAGCAGCGGGCAGTGACCTCACCCCCAGGCCTGAAAGATGGGGAACTGCTTCACCTCCTGCACAAGGGACAACAGCCTGGTCCCTGGGTCTTCAGCCACCTTCCGCGAGCGGAGAGACGGAGACGGCCCGAGGGCAGGGGGACCGCGGAGTCTGGAGCGGCGCGGAGCGGGGGCGGCCCCGCCGGGGGCGCCGTTGACCTTCCGACGAAGGATCCGCCTCTTTCAGAGCCCGCCTCGAGTCGTGTACGAAAGTAATGGGTGCAAAATGCAGACCCCCGAGTGCGCGGTCTGTCTGGAGGACTTGGTGGGCGGGGACCCCATCCGGTCTCTGCCCTGCAAGCACATCTATCACCTGGACTGCATCGACGAGTGGCTGACCCGGTCCTTCACCTGCCCACTCTGCCGGGGGCCCGCGGATGCCGCGAAGCCTTTGTCAGAGGATGCTCTTGAGCCCGGATCCCTGGTGTGATTGCAAGGGACTCATCATTTTTACTGATTTCCATGTTTTGTACTGTGCCCAGATAGCCAGGGATTAAGAATTAAAATAATGCACAAATGTTTATTAAAAGCTCCTGGAATGTTGCAGACGTCCCGGAACAGTTTCTAATGTTTTAGAACGATAGGGAGAAATAGCAGGTAAACCTTGACCAACTGCTGAGAGGTATAATGATGTCTTAGCATTGTTCTCTTGCTAGGAACTGTGTACCCTGTTTTAACAGCTCTACGTGTTGTATTGCATCTGTTGAACATCAGGGAAAGATAGTGGTTACTCTCCCTAAATGAAATCAGATTCTTCTACCCCATCCAACTTTAAAGTTGCCGGCATTTAGGCCACAGTTTTATGAAAAGTTACAATTTATACAACTGAACTAAAATGAAATCAAAGTATGTATGAGTGAATACATGAAGAATGTTATTCTCAAATGAGCCTTCTAAATGGTCTTATCTGTTTGTTCTCCATCATTTTGAGACACCTGATCCTGGGAAAGATTGAGGGAGGGCAGGAGCAGAAGGGGATGACAGAGGATGAGATGGTTGAATGGCATCACCGACTCAATGGATTTGGGTGGACTCCGGGAGTTGGTGATGGACAGGGAGGCCTGGCGTGCTGCCGTTCACGGGGTCACAAAGAGTTGGACACGACTGAGCGACTGAACTGAACTTTTTCCTCTTATAAATCCAATCAAGGTGAACAAAGTGTACCAGGGAAGAACAGTCCTGAGTAGGTTTATTATCTGTGTAATCAGGGCGTGTCCAGGCAATTTAGCTGTGTCTAGGTTTCCCTATATAAAGGGATGATAGTTGTCCATTAAACTGGAAGTCAGCCAGCTTCACTCTGTTTCCATTTTACAAGCCTTATCAATTTACATTTTCCTACCAAAGCAAATACTTAAAATTTGAACTTTCATCATTTTCTACTTTTTATTTGTCCTTAACTTTATTTCTTATGGTTGTGAACAGCTGACTCATTGGAGAAGACCCTGATGCTGGGAAAGATTGAGAGCAAGAGGAGAAGGGGGTGACAGAGGATGAGATGGTTGTGTGACATCACTGACTCACTGGACATGAGTTTGAGCAAACTCCAGGAGTTGATGATAGATAGGGAGGCCTGGAGTCCGTGGGGTCACAGAGAGTCAGACACGACTTAGTGACTAAACAACTGATGGTTGTAGCATCATAACTCACACCCATGTTACATTTTAACGCAGGGGATTTTTTTCTTTTCTTTTTGGCTGAGCTGGGTCTTTGTTGCTGCTGAGGGGCTCTCTCTAGTTGTGGCAAGCGGGGCCTACTCTCTTGTTTTGGTGCACAAGCTTCTCAGTGCAGTGGCTTCTCTTGTTGCTGCTGGCTCACGGACTTAGTTACCCCAAGGTATGTGGGATCTTAGTTCCCGGACCAGGGATCAAACCCATGTTTCCTGCATTGGCAGGCAGGTCCTTAACCACTGGATAACCAGGGAAATCTCTGATGCAGTGGATTTTAAGAGGTAAATTTGCAGGTGGGTGCTGTTGTTCCCACTTAAGTCACTGAACATTGAGTAAGTCATTGAAATAAATATATGTAATAGATTCTGGTGACATTTGGTTGCTAACAGAATCTACAGGAAAACAAGCTAAAAGAGATGAGGGAGTGATACTGCTGGAGACCCCAGTGCAAGAGGGAGTCAAGACTATTCAGAATGACCCCTGCAGAGTTTCGACTTGGATTTGCAACGATGGTTTGGAACCATGGAGCAAACTGAAGCTTCTGATCGCTGTTAGCTAGTGAGCATATACACCTCCATATTTTCCTCATTTTTATCTCACATGAAGGTGTTCCTACATCATTCATCAGCAGTAATAGTCATATTGAGCCGTCTGCCCTGGAAATGAACAGAGATCATTCTGTTGTTTTTGAGATTGCACCCAAGTACTGCATTTCAGACTCTTTTGTTGACTGAGGGTTACTCCATTTCTTCTAAGGGAGTTTTGCCCACAGTAGTAGATATACTGGTCATCTGAGTTAAATTCACCCATTCCAGTCCATCTTAGTTCGCTGAATCCTAAAATGTCTATGTTCACTCTTGCCATCTCCTGTTTGACCACTTCCAACTTACCTTGGGGAGTTGGTGATAGACAGGGAGCCCTGGCGTGCTGCGATTCATGGGGTCACAAAGAGTCAGACATGACTGAGCAACTGAACTGAACTGAACTTACCTTGATTCATGGACCTAACATTCCAGGTTCCTGTGCAGTACTGTTCTTTACAGCTCCATCACCAGACACATCCATAGTTGTTATTTTTCCTCACTAGGGTCTGACTCCTCTAGTCCTCACTGGGCCCTGACACTGGTCCTCACTACAGCCTGACTATTGTATTTCTATGACCTGACAATGCTCCTCACTAGGGCCTGATTCTCATCCTCACTAGGGCCAAACATCCTTCTCTACATCCTGATGCTCATCTTCTCTAGATGCTGACTCTGGTCCTCTCTGTGCCTTGAGTCCTCTCCTCACTGGGGCCTGACCCTCATCCTCACTATGGCCTGACCATTGTCATCACCATGGACTGACTCTGGTCCTTATCAGGGCCTGACTCTCAAAGTCACCATGGATTGACTCTCGCCCTCATTAGGGCCTGACCCTTGTCCTCACTGTGGTCTGCTCTATGGACTGACCTTTTCCAATCAATGGCCTGAATCTTTGCCTCAATTTGGTCTGACTCTACCCCACTGGGTCCTGACTCTTTCTTCACTGAGGCCTGACAGAGATCCTCACTGGGCCCTGATTCTGCTCCCCAAAGGCCTGACTTTGGTCCTCACTATGTTATGACTCCTCACAAGTGCCTGACCCTTGTGCTCATTATGACCTGACTCTCGTCCTCACTATGGATCACTCTGTCCTCTATGGATCACTCTGCCCTCACTATGGATCACTCTGTCCTCTATGGATCACTCTGTCCTCACTATGGATCACTCTGTGTTCACTATGGATCACTCTGTCCTCCATGGATCACTCTGTCCTCTAAAGATCACTCTGTGCTCACTGTGAATCACTCTGTCCTCTCTATGGATCACTCTGTCCTCCATGGATCACTCTGTCCTCTAAAGATCACTCTGTGCTCACTGTGGATCACTCTGTCCTCTCTATGGATCACTCTGTCCTCTATGGATCACTCTGTCCTCTATGGATCCCTCTGTCCTCACTGTGGATCCCTCTGTGCTCACTGTGGACCCCTCTGTCCTCACTGTGGATCACTCTGTGCGCACTGTGGATCACTCTGTCCTCACTGTGAATCACTCTGTCCTCACTGTGGATCCTCTGTGCTCACTGTGGATCCCTCTGTGC